GTGAAACTATGAATGAACGAGTGGCGAATGATAATAATTTCCTATTTAATAGGTGTGTTTTTCGGATGAGTGTACTTTCTTTTTGAACGGTGTAGTTAATCGGCACAACTGTCGGTAATGGGCCGAGGATAACCCCATGGTTTTTCACGAGGTGCACACACAAAACCCTCAGAAATTGAACGTGTGGGCTGGTATTTTTGGAAATTCTATTGTGGGTCAGTTTAACGATATTGAGAAGAACCTCAACGTACAAGTCACAGAACAGCTATCTACCAACTACCGCACCTGATCGTTCAACCTTGTGGCAAGTGAAAAAATGTGTAACCATCTAGAAATAATAAGAAAAAACAGCAAATTGGTCGAAGGAATTTATCCTTATCATTTACTCTGATAAATGTTTAAATAACCTTTTTAAATTTCAATCCTTCATATTTTCTCAATGACTCGACCGATTTTCAAAAACAAAGCGGGGAAATATAGAGAATAGAAAGCTCTTTTCGGTGCGGTGCCACTTGACCCCCCTACCCATTTGAAGAAAGTTGGGGGATGACAGCCCCGCTTAGAGGGTTGAAAATTTTGCAATCATTTTTGGGGCGAAAGTTGTCCCCCTCACAAACAAAATTGACGTGTTTTTGGATTTTTTGAAAAAAGGAATACACTGGCCGTTATGCCTTGCGGAACGTTTTCGATGGGCCACCCTGTATTTTATGTTAGGTTTAATAATAGATTATTTGTTAATAGATATTTGCATTTTTAATTTTTAATATTTTGTTTTTTTCGCAAATTTAAATAATTTGGTTTATGCTGTTTGATGTGAATTTTAAGTTACCCACATATTTTTTTTATTGCTTGTGTTCATGTTTGGGTTCATGTTAATTTTCTCTTGGCTGATTCCTGACCAATGAGTTTATCGCTTTTAGTGCTGCTTGACTATCGGATAATATTTCTTTTTCCTGTTTCCGATAGTTCCTATCTAAGATAAATTGTATGCATCTTTCTTAATGCTGGGGTAGATGCGCCCATTGGTTCGGAGTATTTAGTTTTCGGCCCAAATACTCCTGTCGCTGTCCGTAATTTGGTTTTGGAAGCACCTATACCACATTATGGTATGGTCTTTTACGTACTGAGCAAATGTTTCTCTCTTCCAATTCTTTTTATTGCTCCATACTACAGTGACGTGTTTCTTAATTCATATAATAAACTATTCAGTCACTGTTTACTTTTTGTCCTATTTCAGTTTTTGATCATATTTTGTGGAATTAAAAAAAGTAGTAGTGTAGTTAATCAAGTTTATTCATTCATTCAAATCTAATTATTATTTTACTATTAAAAAATCATGTTTTTATCGTTCATTGTTTAGGTATATATTCTTCTTTTTATTTAGTAATCATAAAGTTTCAAATCATGTTCACCTTCGAACAGAGGGGAAAAATAAGAAGAAAGAATAACCACAGTCGTGGAGGAATATTTAATTATGTCAAAATGCCAGGAGAGAAATGACACGTAGCGAATCAAAAAAGATAAAAATTAACGTGCAGTCGAAATTACGAAAGATGAGACCGGGGTTTTGTATTTACGTTTACATTATTTCAAGGTACCCACTTGACGGGATGGGATACCATTGAACTTTATAAGAGTTCATTCTCCCTTGAAATAATAACGACCAGAGATCAGCTGAACAGATTCAAGCAGTATTTTACATTTATATTACATAGGCTGTAATTCTCGAGCATTCAATCAAATTTGTACATGTTGGTTTATTTTTGATAAAAACTTCTTTTAAATTTGGATGGTTATTTGCATAGGGTTTCGATACATCCGGACGTATGACATGTTTGGGTTTTTAAAGTGTTCGGGGTGGTCATGCAGGAATTTGAAAAACATATATTGGAGATTCTAAAAACATTATTATATTATAAAATATTTATTACTAAAGCTTCATTCGGAACCATTTGTGGAATAAGTTAGTGGTCTAATTATACTTTATTCTTGAGTTTACGATCATTACAATGTGTAAAAAATAAAATTAAAATTAATAGAACATCCTAGCGACAGCTTGCGGTAGTCAGTTGAATCCATAGAGAAAACATTATAATCATACTAATACGAGTATATAAAATCTTTAAGTGACTGACCTTAAGTTAACCGAACCTAACTAACCTAACCGATTAATCACGATCCTGCTCGAAACCACTCAACGTAAGAAGCTCAATTTTGGCATACAGGTTGATTCTAGGGTGTAGAGGTTCGATAAGAAGGGATTTTTCGAAATTCCAGTTCCAAGGGGTGAAACCACCCCTCAAATATTACAATATTTTTTATTTAAAAAAAGGCCAAGTTTCTGAAAAAACGCTTAAAAACGTATATTTTATTTTGTTTTTTACATATTTTAAGATTTTTTAAAAATGTATACAGAGTGTTTCGAAAAATCTGGTCATTGATTAATCACGATCCTGCTTAAAGCGCTTGACGTAAAAAGCTCATTTTTGGAAAACGGATTGACTTTAGGGTGTAGAGATTCGATAAGAAGGTATTGAAAAATGTAAAAAAAAACAAAATAAAATATACGTGTTAAGTGTTTTTTCAGAAACTTTTTTTAAATAAAAAATATTGTAATATTTGAGGGTGGTTTCACCTCCTTGGAACTGGAATTTCGAAAAATCCCTTCTTATCGAACTTCTACACCCTAGAATCAACCTGTATGCCAAAATTGACCTTCTTACGTTGAGTGGTTTGAGCAGGATCGTGATTAATCAGTGAGTCAGTCACTTAAGGATTTTATATATTAGTATAGATACTCGTTTTTTTCCGTTTTGAGTCTAACAAAAATAAAAATAAAAATGTGACAAAAACTGTTTCTTGAGCCGTTATATTTAAATAACAATAATAGTTCTGTTATTTAGAAATAACAGTTTTACCCACTTTAATCAAATTAACCATAAAAATAACCCCATATTCTTTAAATTACACAATATTTTCCTTCGACCGATATCGGTCATTGCGCCAAACCCATACATCCCATCCCGTACTTCTTCTGAACAAAGTTGGACGAGTTGGTACTGGTCTAGGGTACGCGAGCTCGGTCAAAGCGTCGACCGGTCAATTTGCATCGCTATTTATTCAGACGAATTTGCATTTGTCCGTGCCCGAAGCAATTGATTCGCTATTTTTGTGGCGCCCGGCGAAACAAGATCGGCTAAACTATATAACTGTTCGCCGTATCGGAAGATCTAGCGATTTCACGAACGCCGAAACCAAACAGATATCTACGGTTTAAATGGTAGACGAGGAAACTGGAGAATTTAATTCGTTTCTAATGATTCGTTTTTGGTGGGAATTATCTGATAAACGATACCCATATACCCGTTGTTTCGATATTATAATTTATACAGATTAGGCTGTTCTAAAGCTTCATTCAGAACCTCGAAATTAGTGGAATAAATTAATGGCTTTAATTAGCGTAGAAGTTTGTTCCTCTGATATCATTGTAAGAGTTCAGAATGTCAAAATTAGTGGTAGTAATTTTCAATTAGTAAAGCCTAAAGTTTCATTCAGAACCTCGCAATTAGTGGAATAAATTAGAGGTTTTAATTACACTTTATACTTTTAAGTTTACGATCATTCACAATGTCTAAAAAACAACTAAATTTAATAGAATAATATCCTAGCTTGCGTTAGTCTGTGGTATTCATAGAGAAAGCCTAATATTTATCTTATAAAACAATCAACTTTTGATCCCTAACCACAATTTCTCTTGACAGAAGATAATCAAAGGCTAAAATGACATTTACCTCAAATTTTGCAGTATAATTAGTGGAAAAGTCAAAAGTTTGATAACTTTTCGTACCTTTGAATAAGAAGACTAAGGAAGGAGTATAATGCTATCCATGTATTTATGCATGGTGGGCGGAAAAAGCACTCTAGGGTGGGGATCCTTGACAGTTCTGTTTGACGATTCATTTGACACATTTGAATTTGATTTGAAATTTTGTGGATTTGTCAGTCTTTACGGAGCTTATTTTATGTTATTTATTATTTATTCTACTACTGATAGTTGTATAAAGGTAGTAAATCTAGATGGAAATTGTGGCAGAACTTAAATTAACAGTGACACTATCGCGATTTATCGAAAAAGACTCTAAAATAGTTGGTTGTGTAGCGTGCGGTAGATCTCGGCAAAAATTGAGTGAAATAATGGAACAACTTTTCGCTAGTAAGTGACTATATAATATACATACGTGTAGTAAACCGATCATTTATGAAATTCACTTAAATTAACTAAATTATATATTTTTCTTGCATTTTAGCTTTTATTTACTACTTGTCAAAGATCAGATGTCAAAGAATTTTGATACGTTAATTTGACTTACCTGCTTCAGTAGCGTATCGGATGTTTGTGTTAATAAATACTTATTATAACTTATCTATTTTTATTAGAATTATATATTTTTATAACAATTTTAATAACTACCAACATTTATTCACAACGTAAAATAAAATAACAAATTATTGAGTCTACCCCACATCTACCCTACATCATAGTTTTACATTTTTTAAATAAAATTAAAACGGCACTGATAAACCGGAATTTAAGTCGGCCATATTTGAGGCCCATCGTGGTGTACCTAAGATTTTTAATATGCTCCTTCCTTAGTCTTCTTATTCAAAGTTTCGTACTAATTGAGCGTTCTACCACTAATTTTAGCGTTCTGAATGCTTACATTGAAATTAAAGGAACAAACTTCTACGCTTATTCAGAACCTCGCAATTAGTGGAATAAATTAGTGGTTTAAATTAGCGTAGAAGTTTGTTCCTATAATTTCAATGTAAGCATTCAGAACGTCAAAACAATACTTTTTGAATCACAATCTTTTCATCAACATTCTGATTCTAGATATAGCAAGATTAAAAAGTAAAATTGAAATCGTAAATACTCATTGAATCATTTATTATTTCTGTCATTATCGTAATTGATTAATGAAGGTATTCTTTATTTTCAGATATTCAGCTACAGCAAGGCAATACTGCATACAGATCGGAATACCAAGAACGAGCTTTGATAGTATCGCTGCAAATGTTCAATTTGATCTTGGAACGATGCCTTTCGATTTTACAAGAGCACGCCGAGAATTTCCGTCAGCAGGAGAAATCTGGATCACCTCTAGACTCGTTGCCGCACGACGCTAACGTTTTGCTACCCGCTATTAAAGTTTGGTGCGATTGGATGTTATGCCATACATCTGTATGGAATCCACCGCCTAGTACGCAGGATTTTAAAGTAGGGTAAGTATCAATAACAGTATATTTTTTTTATTAGGAGTAAAAATTACACTTTTCGTAGCGAGGCACAAAAAGTCATTTTTACTCCGAATAGAACATGCTATTTTTTTCAAGCGCCACAAATATTTTTTTCAACAATTTCTAACGTTCTAAATACTATAAAAAGATTTAAAAGTCATACCCTGTATGCATGCCCTGTATGTAATTATATATGGAGAAACTATGGTTACGGGCTCGTTGAAATTGACACTTTATGTCAGTTCAATAATATATTTTCGTACTTTTATGCTTAGGCTTTGGCTTAGGCGTAAAAGTGCTTTACTTTTATGCCTAGGCGTTAAAATGACTTTTTTATATTGTCAATCACGTCGCAAAAATTAATACTTTTGTGATAAAAATTATATTTGTAGACTCTACAGTGTGTGCCTGACGCTACAGTTGCACAAATAAGATCATTTTTATTATGGAGCGTCTAAATTTTGAAAAAAAAAACGTCTCATTCAGCTTGCCCAATAGCAAAATTACCATTTCGATGTAACGTTTGTCAAACATTGTACCTTATTTTTGGCATCTTAGTCTTTTGTAAAAGCGATATTAACAGGGTGAAAAATATAGTAAAGTGTGTCCAACGAGTCAGAGAAGATTTTAGGAGGTCATCCACTTGTGTATTAAAGTGATTTATTTGACAGTTATCTTTTACCTTGACTGGTGCTCATAAGTAAATACAGGGCCATAAGAAAGGAGAAATATTTAAAAAAAATCAGAAATATCTAAAGTTATTCTTTTGAATGTGGGTTTTAGTGCTTTTCAATAAACTTAAATAGAATTATTCTCTAAAATAATTAGGGAAGCCAATAATTGACCCCATTAAAATTTACATGGGATTTCCTATGTCCCGTCCGACGATGCAACACCCGGTATATAGTCTGCATAGAGATAGAATTATCACCGTGACAGTTATTGTTTGTCGTTTTAATCCAAAGACTGTTAATTAATAATTTTGAATATATTGTATTTTTTGTTTTATTGTTTATTTCCAGATCATCAAATGATCTTTGGTCCAGATTAGGCCTCCTCATGAACATTTTAGAAACTATGGATCAAGATTCTACCGAAATATTTACAACTGATCCGAAAGAAGGTAAGCAAACTAAGATTAATGTTAATGTCTATCTTACTAAGTAATCGCCATTCCTATGCACATTTTTAACTTTAGCGGCATTAATTAAACATTATTAATCATTTAAACAGTTAAAAATGACGAAAATAGTTTGATACAAAGAGACTCTCAGCGGGGGTAGATGATAAAACATTAATAATTTTGGACGTGAGCTATTCGTTTTTATTGCACATAAACCGACCGCAATACATCTTTGTAAACTGGTGCGCTCTCTGATTGATGATTTCGGTACCAAATTAACTATGACGGTGCATTCGTGCCACCATCGTAGCGCACGTGCGTGAGAACCACGGTTGTCACTTATCGTAGTTTGATATTATAATAGAGTACTTAAGTTTGGTAAACATGTTTAAACATGTAAATATATATGTATATGATATTTGTTTATATAAATATATATATGAAAAGATATCTACCAAATTGATCCTGGATCAGGCCGATACCCACCTCAAATGATATTTTTGGATCCAAGGAACACGTCTATTAGTTTTTTTTTCGCAAAAAAGAAAATGTTGAACATCGTTCTTCTCGAAAACTTTTTTGAACTGCCTGTTCACTGCAAATTTGCAACGGTATAGTTTCTTACTCTCTGATATTACCATGTTACGGCTTTACTCTATAGTTACGGCACTAAAAGGGATGCAAATAGAGGAAAAATCTGGTGGCTCTCAAATTTTTTAATGTAAATCAATTTTTTTTTAATTTTCAAATTGGGATAACTCGGTTATTTTGGACTTGGCAAAGAGAAAATATGTTTCTTTTATCTAGATCTACCAGCCCTGAAAATATTTGCACTTATTTAAGACTCACCCTGTATATAATACGAGATTTTATTCTGAACTGGAATATCTAACGAATTGGCACTTCCGATACTGTAATTACTAGGTATAGTATATAGATACTAAAAGATTAATTTGATATTCATCATCATCATCATCATCATCCTCATTTTCCGCTATTTCCAATTATGGTGTAGCCTCCCTCACATATTTAAATACTCTCTTTATAGTTGGACCCATTGTTGTCTATTGTTGGCTATGCGTGCCCAAGTTATCCCTGCTAGTTTCCTAATATCATGGTCCCATCTCAGGTTTGGTCTTCTTCTAGGTCTCTTAATTCCTCGTGGGTACCCCGCTGTAATTTTTGTGGTCCATCTGTTGTCCGTCCTTCTTGCCAGGTGCCCTGCCCATTGCCACTTGAGGGATTTGTCTCTGTTGGTAACGTATCCACTTTACGTATCCACTTACCGTATCCACTTAACGTAACCACTCTTTTGTCGTATTCACACTATTCTTTTACGGTCTCTCTTGGTTATTCCCAGTTTATTTTGTTCCATTGAGCGTTGTGCGACCTGCAGTTTCCTTATAATGTCCGTTTTAATGGGCTTGTTCCACAATTTTTTTTTATTTTACCAATCGAAAGTACAACTAAAAAATAACAGATCTACCAAAAATTAGAATTTTATTCGTACGTTTAGTACCTCAAAAACACGTACAAACATCTATTGCGCGAGAAAGGGGCGTGGCCAGCCGCTACGTCATAGCACCACAGGTCTGGCGACCGCGCTCGATACAATGCACAGGTCTGCTTTGCCCGATTACAGAAAGTGTGTTTTAAATTTGTAGTATAACGTAGTGTAGTATTAAAGTCTTTCTTTTATTCAATATTAGTGTAAAAAAGACAAGGAAACGTTGTGTAGTGCCAGAATGCACAAATACGAATAAAAATTCCCCTGAAAAACTATTTATTTCTTTAGCGTCCGACATAAAGTTAAGACGAGCATGGCAGCATGCAATGCGAAGACATGATTTTGTCCCTGACAGAGGCACTAGATTTTGTTGTGAAGATCACTTTAATGTAAGTTAATACTTACAAGTAGTGTTTCCTATTTTTTTTAATATTGGTTGAAGAAGACAGAAAATTACAATATATGTACTTAAAAACTATGAAATCGGGAAGAATAAAATTGAAAAAAAGCCTGTAAAGCCTCGAGGATTGGCGAAAAAAGAGAACAAGCAGCCATTATTAAGGAAATTTTAAAAGACGCGAGGCAGGAGGCAAATGAAAACTTTCATTTCGGGGCCAATAGAGTAGACAAGGATCTTAAAATGCATGATCAAGAGCAATCAAGAGGAGCGCATTTCAAACCATCAAATTTATGCAGCCACATAAGAAATACTACCGCGTGCTTGCACGTTCGGATGCGGCACAGTCATTACACTTTGCTTCTATTACACTTTTTTTACTAGTATTTATAATAATGCTTTAATTGTTTCTTACTTTTTAAACCTTTAGCCATATTTTTTTTTTACTTTTTCTTGGGTAAAAAAACACAGTCATCACACTAATTTATACAGACTGGTGCTAGCAAGGCGACTTCAAGAATAAAGTGCCTGATTAAAAAAACCTCATACCCCAGAAAAAGTAAAAAAAATATATGGATATAATAATGCATTGTACATTATAATTTTTTGCATTAATTTTGTGCTCCGGTGTAATTTTTGCCACTACTTGTCATAATGATTGCTGTTGTTTTAACTGCACATATTATCCAATTGCATTATTACCATAATTTTGTCTGCCGGATCTGTAAGAAAAAAGTACATAGCTTACGTATCAGTTTTTACCTTAAAGTAGAAATATTTTTCTATATATTTATTGTATTACGTCTTTTCGCGGACCAACCTCGAACTAGTCCTAGTCAATCACCTATCTTAAAATCAATTCAGTATTTGTCAGCTGTATATGAAACCACTGATTTTTTCTGCTTCGTGAATTTTTCACGAGAATATTTATTAATAATTGATCAAAATTAATTTATTTTTGTTTTTTTTTAAATTAAAATTTTTAAAATTTCAAAAATAATTAAAAATAGTTTTCTACAAGCGTGTTAAAATGTTTTTCGCCACACTCCGATATATAATAATATTACTTTAAGGTACTAGCGCTTTAAAATTTACTTTAGTCATTAAAGGAAACAAAAAAATATATATTTGAGGAAAGTCTCTTATTTACTTGTACAATTATTATGTATTAATTCAATATTAATTATATTTATATTCTAACTTAATTATATTATTAATATAAACAATAAACAATTGTTAATTCAATAATTAGCCGAAAAGCCTCAAAATGCTAATTAATTGTATTAATGTTACAAATAGAAGAAGATTGCACAGGTTAGTTAAGAAAATGCATAGGTTGCCTTTATATAGGGTAAATAACCCTTTGTTTTTTTTACTCAAGCGAGCCGCCACTGCTTTCTGATACAGATATAGGTATTTAAGCAATAGAAAATATCTTAGAAGGAAAATATAATAGAAATTAAAAGGTTTACTGAAGGTACCTTTGTAACTTTATTTCCTTCATTTCTGAACTAATAAAAATTTTTATTAAAATAATCCATTATCGTAAAAATGTCCGTTTCTGGGAGATTGCCCGAATCAACTTTATTGAACCCTTCTCCTACCGAATGCATCTTGTGAAAATAAACCAACGAAATAGTCTAAATAACGATAAAATGACAAATCACATTAATTCAAATGAGTGTTTCCGTTACGAACTGATTGACGGCCGAAGTCGGGTGTAGTGGAACTACGTCACGAGGGGGCGTGGCCTCGTTTAGCCGTTACAAACTTTAAGCTCTCATATTATAAAAATATACATACATTAAAAACATACAAATAGGATATGATGGAACAAGCCTATTGTACTCTATACTAACTTAATTCTTTTGTTGATTTCTGGTAGTAGAGATCCTGAGCTGTATATTAGTTGTCCCAAATATATATACAGGGTGCTACAAATTCGAGGTACGAGCATTGGTATCTCGGTAACCGTAATAGATACGAACATGGTTAAATTGGGGCAAAGTTGCGCTTTGGGATGTTGACCAAGATGCCATCAAAAAGTTTTAAAAATTTCAAAAAGGATTGCAGAGTTTTTTGAAAAAAAAAACTGATTTTTTTTGAAAATTAATTTTATTTTTTCCTGTCGTTACTTTTTAGAAAATCAAAAAACTAATTGCACATTCTCATAGCCACTTTATTAAGGCTATCTGATAGTATTTTTAGATTTTCAAATTAGCTGATAATTTTGGAGATACAGAGGCGAACTTAATTTTTTTAAATACGGACCTGCATTTTTTATTTCAGATTTTGAAAGAACTCGGTGAGCACAATGATATGCCGCACCAATTTTTTTTTGTTTTGACATTTAAACACAATTTATTTAAACTAATTTCAAGTCCGGCTGTTTTTTTTAATATTTAATCTATTCACCGTTACAATATTGATAAGATTTCAAACTTAACAATGACGTGGGGTGAAACATTGAATACTGAAAATCAAATACAATAAAATAATTAACATAAATATTATAATATAATATAAACGATCAAATCATTTTCCTGGAAGATGGATTGGAAATGGTAGAACAGTATAATGTCCAGCGAGGTTCCTGGTTCCTGGACATCGCCAAGGGGCTACATTATTATTTGATGTCATTTGTAAAAGTGAAATCAATTCATCTCAACATTTACAATAAAGAGTACAAAATACATTCGGAAGTATAAGAAGAAAGTTCAAAGAGCTATAAATAAAATTGAGGGAAAAATAAATTTGTGCAATAGGGAGGGTGGTAACCCTTTCGAACAAGCAGAACATTAGAAATTAGTTTGTCGAAGTTGATTTATTTATAATAACTACGATTAATATTATGCATATTATTAGATCGTACACTGACATTTCAAATTTGCAATAAAAAAGTTAGAAATAATATCTTTAAATTTCTGACCTGGATATTATTTATTTGAATCTTCAAATTGGCTCGATTTCATTATTCAATGTTAATTAGCTCTGATCAATATTGTTGCCATGAATATAATCAGATCAAATAATTTAAGAAACCAGAGTCGGACTTGAAATTATTTTAAATAATAATTAAATACTTTTGTTGCTGTAAAGGTATCTAAAACAAAAAAAAAATAAAGTGTGGCATATCATTGTATTCAGGAGACCGAGTTCTTTCAAAACATGAAATAAAAAATGCAGGTCCGTATTTAAAAAAATTAAGTTGACCTCTGTATCTCACAAATTATCAGCTAATTTGAAAATCTAAAAATGCTATCAGATAGCCCTAATAAAGTGGCTATGAGAATGTGCGATTAGTTTTTTGATTTTCTAAAAAGTAACGCCAGGAAAAAAAATTGATTTTCAAAAAAATCAGATTTTTCCAAAAAATTCAGCAATCCTTGAAATTTTTAAAACTTTTTTGATTGCATCTTGGTGAACATCCCAATACGGCAACTTTGCCCCAATTTAACCATGTTCGTATCTACTACGGTTACCGAGATACCAATGCTCGTAGCTCGAATTTGTAGCACCCTGTATTCTTCTACTTCTACCAGTGTTGTGTTATTAATTAGAATGTCTTTTCTGTATACAAGTGTCTTGTCCATTACTTTAGTTTTTACTAAATTCATTTTGAGACTCACTTTATTGCTGGCTGTATTTAGTTCATTAATTTGTACTTGTAGTTCTTCAGGACTATTGGCAATTAGGACTATGTCATCAGCGAGATCTTGGATGATTTAAATAGTCTCCATCAATTTTTAATCCTTTGTTGGTCCAGTCCAGTTGACGAAAGATGTTATCTAGTGTTACTGTAAATGATTGGATAAATTCTATTCTGAAAAATAAATAAGTCGGACTTATAGAACTTTCCTAACAACGTCTATTCTGCTGGCTTTTGATTAAAGCTATTATTACACCGGTTTAGTATATTACTGAAGTAGTTCCCAACCATTTTTAACTGGGAGCAATATTCTCGTCTACCTCCCACATTACGTGCAACATAATCCCGGTATTAACGCCCATAACGGCCTGTCATAACTGCCACGTTGCCGTAAATAACATTAATTATCTTATAGAAGTGACGCGGTACGGTTGTCGCCCAAAGAAAATAAATTAATTATCCATCGTTATAATCACGGCTGCGGACTTCTAAGCGCTCCGAAGATAGACTTACAGTGATGGACATTTTTGCGGGGCAATTACATGGTGCTTTTCCTATCTGCTGGGCAAGGTGTTAGAACTGCAGCCGCTCGCTATTTTTTTTTCATTTTATGTTATAATCCCTTACGCGTGCAGTCTTAACAATTTTCTTCAATTTTAATATTCTAGAAGAGGAAATATGCTAACTTAAGGGATTTTCTTGTAACTTCGTTTTTTTGACTGTTGTTCGTTTGCGTTTCTTAGGATCAAAATGTGCTTTTATCATATTTTTAATTAATATTGTTGTGGACCCGTGTGGACTCACCTAAATAATATGTCCCGCCCCCATATGACCTTAATGTCGCATTAAAAAATAGACACCGTAATGATTCATTCGAACGTTCGAGAACAATCGAGTTCCACTGGAATGGAGGAGTACATACGAGAACATTCTAAACTTTCTCTATGCACCTAATGATCTAACGTCTAACGGATTATTCGAGAACTGTTTAGCTGTGGGTATATAAGCCGACGTCTGGGGCCTGAGGAGGACAGAAAACAAATAGACGCGTACAGTTGCCGCGCTAAATTCAAAATAAATTCCTTCTAGATAAATAGTTATAAATAGTTTGTAAATAGTTATTTAAGTCTTTTATCGTTATTGTTTTTGTTACTTAGTGTAAAATAAATTGTGACTTTCTATCCACACGGAACCGACGAAAAACGTAACAATATATAGTTTTCAGTTGGTATTACAGCAGCAAAATAAAACACTAATGTTACTACCATGTTAACATCATCATAAGATGATTACAATTCAAATGTTTTAATCATTGGCTGATGATGCTAGTATGGTTAGCAAAACGCAAAGTGTTTCGGTGTTTTGTGGTGAATTAGTGTTTTATTTTGTGAATACGTAGTAACATAATGAAAATAGTTAATGATGCACAACTATTTTTAGTAAACGAATAACACAACGAGTAATATTTTGGGGCGATGATGCAAATAATTTTGTTGTCTTCCTTCTTCCCCATGTGTCATACCTGTGGGCAGGCTTTGGCGATGTCCATGACTTTCTCATTGAATAGATCTCTGCTACATGAAATAGCCTCTCCACCCCCAGACCGGCCCAGTTTCGTATGGCTGTTAGCCACGACAGTCTTTTTTGACCTATCCACCTTCTACCCTTGACTTATCGTTGAATAATAAAACGTGGAGAATAGTATTTACTGCCTCGCAATATGTGTCCGAAGTAGCTAACCTTTCTGGACTTGACGGTGTTTAAGAGTTGCCGATCTATATTAAGTTGTGTAAGAACTTCTTCGTTACTTGAATGTTCAGTCTAAGAAATGTGAAGGGTTCTTCGGTAGCACTACATGTCAAATGCTTTTGTTTTATTGATATTATCGACTTTTAGTGTCCATGTCTTGCATCCGAAAAGAAGAGTGGATCAAATGTAAAAACGTAATGTTGTCAATCAAGTTTGCGTGTTTCTGTTAGTGAGCGTGAAATTCCATTTTCAGAATGCTTTATGTCCTATTTTAATCCTTGATTTTGTTCTTTGGTGATTACAAAAACTATATCATTCTGTTGAAATCTTTCTTGTCATGTGGTGAACCATGTACTCGCTGTGCACTTTATGAAAATGTGTTAAATTATCTTTTTTCTATAGCAACTGTTAAAATTGCCTTATATCTATCAAAAATAGTAAATAAAATAGTACTTTAACCGTAAGGGTAGATTAAATGATATAGCGAGGATAGGTTAAAAACTTTATTTCTTCTCGCACGTTTTTTAATTGCTTCCATTTTTGAAAATTTTTGTATTGCTTTTCATAAGTTATTCGGGATTTAAATGGAAGTAGTTTATATATGGCGTTTGTCGCCTCAGCCTGAATATCTGTTGGTAATTTACTTATTTCGTTTTGAACCATTTCTGGCTCCAATTCAATCAGCAATCGACTCGAAAGAGAATTAAAAAATATTGAGTCAAAACTGACAACTATAGAGACAGATTTATTTATTTGTCAAATTACATAGAAACCAACGCCAACCTTGCACAATATTTTTTTCTACTCGTAATAAATTTCTTGACATAATACTTTCTGAATATTTTTTAAACCGTAACTCGCTATGGAAAAAAAAATATTGTTTTATACACGACGATAAAATTGAATCGTGAATTAATCCTTTCGGTCGACGATAAAATGCCATTTTATCGTCTTGTATAAAAAATAACTATTAAAGCTATTTGATAATGGAAGGAAGTTGCGCATTTTTCTGTAGTAAAGATTAAAATTTTAAATGTTCCATAACTTGGTCGCGGTAAAGACCAGTCATTTAGAACATTTTTATAAATATTGATAAATTTATGTTTTCTCCATCTATCTATGACTTTTGGGCTCGTATTTATTCTAATAACTCCTTTTTGATATGATAAAATGCTATTTAATAATATACTTGAATTTATCAGTAGTTTGTCCTAGGATGACATTGGTGTAAAACCAATGCATTTTTTTTAATTTTCATTTTTTAATTAATACGAATATTTTTATTTAATTAGGATACGATGCGGTACGACTTCCCGAAGATGTTGTTCTGTTTGGTTTTACCCCGCTGATGTTCAAAGAACGTGAAACTGCATTCGCTCCTTCTGGATTCGATGTCGAAGCTGCGCAGCTGGGGTTGCGCATTTCCAGGCTTTTGTTCTTCGGTACTATATATCTGTGCGGTTTGGAACCTCCGGTATTGAAGCTAGAAATTGAAGATGGTAGACGGGACTATGTATCGGTGGTTACAAGCGAAAGAGGAAGAGACTCGCCAAGAGACGATGCTATTTTGGTGAGTATATCTAACAGTTTTTGTTAAAATTGCACTGCAACATGAAGATTTGAGTTTGGCGCAGAAATAGTTATTTGTTTATTTTGGAAATGGTGTTTTTTACTTACATGTCGATAATACCATAATCTTAAATAGCTTTGTGTTGAATTGGAGAACATTATCAGAATTATTATGACACCAGTGAGATCCTCATGTCCTTCTAAAGTATTTGAATAGAGGAATTAAAGAATTCTAAAAAAAAATTTAAGTCTTTAATTCCTCTATTCAAATACTTTAGAAGGACATGAGGATCTCACTGGTGTCATAATAATTCTGATAATGTTCTCCAATTCAACACAAAGCTATTTAAGATTATGGACTAACTCGAAACTGTAATTTTCTATTTTAATCAGCTAAAGTGAAGTTTAAACTTTGGACTAATCTTAAGTTTTACCGGCAGATGTAATAGTAGCTTTAGTATTTAATTACACTAATGTAACATTTTTGCATTTGATTAAAAGCAACGTATTGTTTGCCTTTTGGGCGTTATTAATAATGCTATTGAATTAACGAATATAGACATGGACAAAAAGGAACTTTGTTTTTCGAAGATTAAAATTTTAATTTAAAATCTCTTTCCGTGATAAAATAAATAACATGTATTTCTAAATTCATTGTTTCAAAATTTTGAGTAAAATGTCAAGGTCACAGGGTAAAGGCCGATTTATGCATACTAAAACGACATCCGCATATTGAAATATTAAAAACTGTAAATGTTTGATGTATTTAACCTTTTGAATCTTAATTGTATTGTTACAGTGTTGTGTTTCACAATTTCTATGAATCCAGGAAAAAACAAGATTTTGATGTATTTATTTTAAATTTTAAAGGTGATTAAATAATTAAAAAAATATTGATTTAGGTACTTATCTGATTTTTGATGAGTAAGTAAAGTAATGATAACATAACATAAAGTATGATTTTATATATTTTCAAGCCAATCCATTTTTTATGGAATCTCTATATTTAGACATTTTATATCAACCGAAAATTTCTGACTGGCCATTAAACTGCTTAATAAGTCCTTTAGGAGGTAGGAATTTAGAGTTATAACAGAAGTCAGAGGTTCAAATAAAATGATTCTAAAATGAAGGAAAAGTAATATTTGAAGTTCAGTTGTTTCTACGTTTTTTGTTTTATAGTCTGTCTAGTTTAAGTTTTGAATAAAGGGTCGGGGGAAAAAAGGTTGAATGAAGGGTCAGGGGAAAAAGCAGGCAAGTCATTTTTTTGCTATATTTAAACATTCGGTATTTCGGTATTGTAACGTTTTGAATATTAAATCGAGCTTTTCTCAGTTTGGAGACAATTGCCTGCTTTTTTACTCCGACCCTTCACATGAAAGTGAGATTTTTGTGTTATTTTATTTCAAAAATATATTGCTTTTTCCGTCGTTTTTGAATATTATTTGTTGAAATTATAGGTATATTATATTTTCTTGATGGATAGAACAATATACTTTTTAAATTTTCTATGAATATTTTTTATCTTACTTTCTTTATACTTTTTTTCAGACTTTTTTGTTGTTTCATCTATAATTATTATATTTCTTTTGTTTTTGTGTATTTCTAAAATAAATATATAGAGGGTGGCGCCTCTCATACGCCGCGGAGGCTCCAAGGAGAACGACAGTTTGTATTGATATGAAATTTTGTGAGCATATGTAGGTTAATTCAGAGCACTTTTTAAAAATATAGAGAGTTCTACAGGGTGTCCCTAAAAAAAGTTACATATCAAAGTTGTGTTTTTTCTAATGGAACACCCTATATATTAATTGATTTTCGCATTCTGGACGAAAAATAAAGGTGAGTTTTTTAATAGAAGTATATGACTAAAATATAAGGTTTTTGACATATTTAACATTTTCTAGAAATAAAGAAAAATTTTTAAATTACAATAAAAGCTACCTAAATTAGAATTTACCCGGTATAGCCTAATACGTAGTTAAATTAACTATAGTACTTTAAATCAAATTAAAACTTGATCCAAAAAGTTATACAGGGTGAGACAAAATTAATATTGACCATTGGTCACATTTAAAAGCATATTACTCTCTTATTTTAAATGGAACACCCAGTATATTATTCCGATATTCAATGGAGAATTCATGTCTCTTCAAAATACTATTAAGGTTGTCTACCCCTCAAACAAAGATTTTCCTAGATATTTTTATTTACATAATTTGATCTGAGTAGATCTTTATTATTTGATAAAATCTAGGTGGCTGGGATATGTCTGACGTTACTTCAACATAGCTGTCTAATTAGTCCAACTTTAACAACTAGTTATCATTTTATGTCAGTTAAAACAAAAAAAATTCTCAGAAATTTGCTGAAATGGCAAACTTATCTTACATCAGAGAGAATTGATATGATTCCCTAAGTTGGTGAATGCAGTGTGCATTCACCAATTAAGAGAATACTTAAATGCTCCTGATTTTATCTAGTCTGTTTTTTTATGGGGATATGTTAAAGACAGTGTTTACAAAACTCGACCAACTAGTGTCGACAACATGAGAGAAATTATTGTAGCTGCTTTTCGAGGTAGAACTCCACATATGCCTTTTAAAATGAAAATATTATTTTGAAAAAACAATCATTTTATGCAGTTAACAGGAAGGGAAGCATTTTGAGCATTTGATTTCATCTAGCTAATTTTTGTCGCATAATTATAGGTTTATATCTAGTTTTAATTCTGTAATAACTAAAATATGTTTTAAACGCTATCTTTTTATTACCCTTGTGTATTTTACTCTAAAATCTTTAATTCTTGTTAAATTAATAAAAGGTATATCACACAGCCACCGATTTTTTAAATATTAAAGATTTACTAACGCAAAATCATAAAAAATAAAATATCTGGGAAAATCCTTGTCTGAGGGGTAGGCAACCTTAATAATATTTTGAAGATATATAAATTCCCCATTGAACACCGGAAAAAATATACTGGGTGTTGCATTTAAAATAAAGGAGTAACTTGCTTTTTTAAGTGTCCAATGTTCCATGTTAATTTTGTCTCATCATGTATAACTTTTCGGGTCAAATTTCAATTTGGTTTAACATACAATGTTTACTGTAATTAAAAATTAGGCTATACAAGGTCAACTAAAATTTAGGTAGCTGTTATCGAAATATAAAATTTACTCTTCATTTTCACAAAATGTGAAATATGTCAAAATCCTTAGATTTTAGGTATATGCTTCTTCATTAAAAGTTACATTTATTTTTTTCCTAGAATCCGAAAATCAATTAATATATAGGGTGTTCCATTAGAAAAAACACAACTTTGATGTGTAACTTTTTTGGGGGACACCCTGTATAATTCTATATATTTTTATAAAATGCTTTCAGTGAACCTACATATGCTGCCAACATTTCATTTCGATATAAACTACCGTTCTCCTTGGAGCTTCCACGGCGTATGAGAGGCGCCACCCTGTATTTCAAGGTTTTAATGTCCCATACACTGTTCCAACTATTCCAAATCATTTTTCAATTTCTTCAGATCTTATTGGCTAAGATAATTCCTAAATAGTTATACAGCCACAAATTATTGTGAAATTTCAACAACCACTTGGTAGAGGAGATTCTTTGAGGTGACTATCGGCCTGATCCACTGCGACATTTTCAAATCTATTGTGGTCATTTTCTGATCCCTTAGGTTACATTCTTCATGGTTCAGTTCTATCCTTTTGAAAAAGTCTAGCAACTTGGAGACTAAATCCTCCATATAGCTCTCTGTCAATGGCCTATAATTGCCTAGTACAGAGAACCGCACATATGCCAGGCTGTCGCACCGACATAAAATATATGTTCTGTCGTTTCTTCTTCAGATTCACTGAACCTGCACATGGTTCAATCCAATTGACATCCGTCAATCCCATTAGCTTTAGATGCCTAATTAGCTTACAATGCCCTTTTAGTAGATCCACTACAGCTTTGACTGTCTTTCTGTCTTTGCTTATCAGATCTGCCGTGAATTTTGGCGAATGTTCTACTGTGAAATTATTCGCCTATCTCTGCCCTGGTGAATTTCTCCATCATTCTAGAGATTTTTTGGCTACCCACCGTTTTGTGGCCATACTCGTGACTGCTTTTGCAACACCGCAGAACGGTTCTGGGCCTATGAATGGGGGCATTGATGAGCCTTATTTGAGGTTATGACATAGCTTTTTGAAATGGATATTTTACGGCAAATCCACTGTGCGATAAAAATATTTTGGCTACTCCTAATACTTTTTAACTTGCTTAAAATGTATTTTTCGATGTTTTGTTAATTTACTGAAGTAATTCTATTAATCATCCATATGATGCAGTGGTCTAACGTTTAGGAAATTAATTATATATAATTAAATTAGCTTAGTGGTAACTAGGCGGCCGTCGGAACTTGTAAATCATAGTCCCTTCTGCACCGTCTAAAGCCCGTAAGGTGCAATTTGGAAAATGTCACTGGCTTTGTAGCGTTGCTGCAACAAAGAAGTTGTTAGTAAAGTTCATTAGGCGGCGTTACGGAACTCGGAGTTCCGCTCAATTACTTCAAACTGGGCGATTATGTGATGAGAAATTGCAGAGCTAGAGAAAGTTAATGTTTAGTAAAGAGTGATGTAACGAATGCCATTTTTTTTGAATTTTCAATGCAAATATCTGTAGCTAATATTTATGAATGCGAATGTGAATATTAATTTGTTGTTAAAAAAATTATACAGATACACACATAGAAAATTATACAGATTACAACATATAGATAACATGTAATAATTAAGAAAAAATATTTTTTTAAATGTTGATTATTTTCTAAAAGTTTAATAGGGGAATATCCTTATTTGTCAATCATCAAAAAATCACATTTCAAAACTAAAAATACTAATATAGTTATAAAAGGTATTTTTTTAAGTTTAAAATCCTAATAGACTAGAATACAGGGTTGGAAAAAATCATGATTTTTAAAAAAAAAATCAAAAAAATTAAATTTTTTTTATTTAAATCAGATTTTTTTGATTTTAATTCAAAACAATATTTAAATCGGATTTCCAAATGACTTGGACTTATTTCCAATTAAAGTCCTATCCTAAATGGCTAAATCTATACCCTCACACCGATAACATTAATAATTCTACGGGGCGTGTGATTTTTCCACATCGGTCACCAATATATTCCGCAAAAAAAAGTCGTTCGCTTCAGATCAAAAGGATTTTTTTTTTCAAACGTCTCAAAAGTATTAAATATTTGACATTTTAACCCGTAGACATAAAAGTAAAGCACTGTTACGCCTAAGCACAAAAGTACAAAAATATATTATTAAACTGATATTAAGTGTCAAATTCAATGAGTGTACAAATTGTTTCTCGATTACTGTTTACATTATTTGCAATATTTGAAATTGATTAAAAAAATATTTGTAATGTTTAAAAAAAATAGTATGTTCTATTGGGGGTAAAAATGTATTTTTTATGCCTCACGATTTAAATCATGATTTAAATCATTTGATTTAAATCATGCCAACCCTGCTAGAATATTATAATGATTACACAGCCACACCAAAAAAGTCGTCTATGCTTTTTACCAGACCATCATTATATCCTATAGTATTTTTCGACGCTGATTACGAATCTGCCATAAGAATTACGCCATCACATCTCTTTTTTTCTCTAACCTCAAAAACTTGGTGAAAATTTGTAAAAATTTAGGAAAAAATATTTTTTTTTCTCATGTATAACACTATAACCTAATGTAAATATGGGCCTGATAAACTCAAAACACCTATCAGAATTGAGCTAGCATGGCTCATATTTTTTCTAACCTCAAAAAACCTACCACAAGTCATGATTTTCGAAAATCGCACGGATCTTAACCAAAATCGATATAGGAATATTTTTAGAAAATCATGACTTGTGGTAGGTTTTTTGAGGTTAAAATATGAGACATACTAGCTCAATTCTGATAGGTGTTTGGAGTTTATCAGGTCAATTTACATTAGGTTATAGTGTTACACATGAGAAAAAAAAATCCTACTACATTTTCTTGAATTTTTACGGATTTTCACCAAGTTTTTGAGGTTAGAAAAAAATGAGATGTGATAGCGTAATTCTGATAGCGGATTCGTGTACAGCGTCGAGAATTACTATAGGATATGATGGTCTTGTAAAAAGCATAGACCACTTTTTTTTGTGTGGCTGGGTTATCAACAATTTTGGAAAGAATACGTTTATATTAAATATTTTATTTGTTAAAAAGAAGTTTAACAGTGGTATCTCCTTTTTGTTTTATTAATTAATATTATTAGATTCATATAAAAAGATGATTATTTTTAGTTTAAAATAAAAAAAAGAAAATAACATTAAAGTTTAAAAGCAGTATGCGGGGCAACGGCCCAGCTACCTCGAAACATGGGTTCCCGACAGATTGCCGAAGTTAAGCGACGTCAAACGATGCGAATAGATGGAGGGGTGACCGTTTTGACACTCTGTCGTGCTGTTGTTCCATGGCAAGAGTGTAAAATCTATTGATACATCGCTCATTCATGCCTGTTCGAGGCCGGATGAGATCGGATATCTTGCGAGTAAGAGTCGATTTAGACACTCGCCAAGACCGGTAGGCCATTGACCATGATATGGTCGAGGACTGCGGTTCGGATTCGGCTTAAACAAAGTAGGCCCCGTCCAGATTAGCCCTAGCAGCAAAATGGAGACGTTAACTTAAAATACTTTTACTAAATCAGATCTACACTTTACAATGTCTTTTTATAGTTTTTTAATTTAACTTACTGGATAAATTGAAAATGCTACCAAATACTTAGTGGAAAAATAACCCGTTTAATGAGTGCTCTAAATATATAGTCACACAAAACATATTCACTTTTTTGTTTCAGGCCAGAAATGATGAAGTTTTGTTAGAAACTTTCAGTGGTGACGAAGAGGAATCAGAAAATGATCGGACTCAAACCACAGATGTAAACGATTTGAGAGAGACCTCATCGGAAGTCAAAGACTTAATCAACAGAAAACAAGAACTGGAGAAGAGGAAGAAGAGTCAAGATCTTCATCGGCAGAGAGTAATGGTAAGTACACAATCAATTTTCTTTTAAATAGCGTAGTCTGTGATTTATTGCCAGCTCCTAAAACTCCAATTTTGCGAATTGTCTTTAAATTACGCGTGGATTTTACGACATTTAATTTTAGAACAAAATCAATTATTATCTTTAATAGATGTATTTTATATTTTTTTTTATAAAACTGACGATATTAAATTTGATCTTAGTGGTGATTGAATATAACTGATAGTAGTTACTGTTATCTTATATGATTATTGAGTTTACACAGTTACTTTGATAATTGTTAATTAAGTTTGATATTTGAAATTGTAAGAAATTAATGTTTTTGTTTGAAACTTTAATTAAAAAGCGTTATAGTAGCTGATGTTTAATTGCTACATTTATTATGCAATTTTTTTCATTGAATATATGGCGCCACGTACTTATGTAAGAAAAGTTTACTTATTAGACATGTAATTAGTCATTCTATTTATAATGCAATAGTGCTATTAGAATTATAAAAAATAAGTTGGTAATTATATGAAATAAGTTGGTACAATTGGAACTCATAGCAGAATTAATATATTTAAAATTTGAGTAACAAGTGATTACTTCAAAATATTGTGAAAAAAATATTGTATAAAATTGAAAAAATCTAATCGAGTTATTTTATGAAAAACAATTACAGTGTATCTGTTAATACAAAACAAGCAAGGGAGTATTTTAAAAAACACCATAGGTATATCAAAAAAATATAAAAAAGATTTCCTGCTTCCAGGCCGTGTTTCAAGCTCAAGCAACTTCCTGCATTTATTGTTACTTTTATCAATATTATTTTTACAATAATCATGTAAAAATAAAAAAATAATATTGCAAAGGAATAAATAAAACGCAACATAAATAAAACAAAATATTTTATTGATAATAACACTTACTGAATTTTATACTTTAAAAGTTGTTACATTAACAAATTGTAAAACATTATCTCGCTGCAGTACTAAAATTTTTTATTTACCTATCGTCTGCTGCTATTTTACAGATACTCTTTTTTGGTACCATATACGTGATGGTATACAAACTTTATTTGTGGCTAATACAACTCTCTGGCCATAATCTCTGGTAAACTGTCTCTGGCGGTCTCTGGGCACCGAATATTAACTGTAAACTATGTTCTGGGTCAACACTTAATTTTCCCAAATTTTCCTCCACTTAATTTTAAAAAACACGAAACCCACGTAATAACACAGTCCAAAATGCAAAATATTTATCATTTCTATTTGACATAAAATTATAACCTATAATTTGGCAAGAGTTTGACAACTCTCAAAAATCTTAAGTCGAGTTCATACGTATCAGCGCCCGTGTGTCGTTCATCGTTCCCTCAAACCAATAATATTGAAATATAATCTGTCACATTTTTGAAATAAACCAATAAAACTAGTTAAAAACAACAAGAGATCACGCATAACGGATTTATACATAAACCCATCCGTAGTTAACTTAAAAAGATAAATAATATAATTTTTTTAGTTAAATAAATGGATTGTATGTTAAATTGTATGGACGTCATCAGCATTTTGTCATCGTCTATTGAAATCTTACGTGAGAAAAAAAACAGAGTATAAGGGACATAAAAGGCCATTACTACCGTTTTCCCGTTCAAAATATTCTAATAAGTTTATGATGAATTTTTTGCAAGGGCTATTAAGCTGCAGCGACATTTTGTACACTTCGCACTAAAAGACGTTCTAAAAAGAACAATATTCGACTGCAGGTCTGTGCAAATGTCACAACGAATGACAATGTCGGGAAATAAATAAATGTGGCATCTTGACATTTTTTTCAGCAGAGCTACGACCTAAATCCCTAGCTTTACGTTACTAGCTCCCTCGATTACGTAACTAAAAATTTAATTGGTATCTTATTTATTATTATTGGTTAGTGTCCCACTTGGCACCATTTTCCAACGATTAGGCGCAATTAACCCTCTATTCTCTGGAACCACCAGCCGAAACGCGGCGCCACCTGTACACGTCATAATTGCGTTCGCGCACCGCAAACTCGAAAAGATACAGGTTGAATTATTCATCTCGGTGGAGATAGGCATCGCGGAGGCCGATCAGCGCAACCGGGCAACGATACGACCGGTGCGTGGACCAGAAAAAGCGGCGCCTGAGCGACGTGAGATACAGTTCAACGTCAATAAAGTTATCTTGGCTATGGCCTATGATGACATAAAAAGTTGCGTTGCAATGTGTACCATCAGAATTGATTTGTACGAAATTTGTTTGTATGAGCACGTTTTAATGTCATAAGTTTGGCTGTGTAAGTTTTTACAAAAAATGAAACAGAAACGAACAAGTTCGAAACAAAGGGTTTTTTTTGCTTTTCGAACTATTCACTCTTAAGGTTTGGTATTTTTGCATGCGCTTAAACTAATTCTGGAAACATTTTTTCCACTTCTATAACAGTTTCTTGAGATGATGAAAATTGCTGTCCGCGCATCTTTTGTTTGACAGTGGGGAACAAGAAAAAGTCATTAGTTGGTTAGGTTAGGTTAGAGAGAGAGCTTTTAAAAATAAAAAAGGTCAAAATAAAAAAATCCACCAATTTAAATCTAGATTTAAATCAAGTTAATTTAAATCATTGCACCCTGACCTTACAACAACGACCAAATTTGATCCTTGACTTTCTGAAGACAAATGACAGTGATAGAGAATATACATGTAACATACGGAGTGTTTCTGAGAAGTGGCTCACCTCTATAACTTCTTTATTTTTTCAGTTAATAAAACGAAATTTGGTATCTTGGTATATGACATAAATCAAGGTTGATTGACGTATTCAATTACTATCTGTCACTTCCTTTTTCGGTCTCTTCCTGTTGATTTTTAAATGGTACCACCGGTATATTCTTGTTTTATATGTCAACTTTTAACATTTTCAAATAAAAAAAACTAGAATTTTAAATTTCAATCTAGAGTGCCATGGCTGTGTTAAAACCATTAATTTTTAATTATGGAGCTTTGGAAAAATAGATTTGATCGTCTAACGTTTTTAGAGTATTTTTCTGTTCGGCTAAAAGATACCCAAATCGTATTTTTAATCATAATCAAAATCATGAGGGTCACTCATTAGCATATTTGGAAAAAGCATTTTTTTACGAATAATTTGCTATCATATACTTGCTATTTCGTAGTCAAATTGTCTTTACATTTATAGCCATGGCACTCTAGATTGAAATTTAAATTGCTATTTTTTTTAATTGAAAATGTCAAAAGTTGACATGATATATCATTCTATTCAGAATGCCATTTTCTATCACATAAAGTTAAAACATACTGGGGGTACCATTTAAAAATCAAAAGTTGTACTCATTTCCGGTGAAACAGGAAGTGACCGAAAGTAATTGCATACGTCAATCAATCCTGATATACACACATGGCCAACATTATTGCATATAACGATATTTTTATTTTATTTTGGACATAAGATGATTCGTTTTATATTTTGGACTTTTGGCCTACTACACGACTAACTAATATAAAATTAAAAATCTAAGTGCAACTAGGCTGTTATTATAATTTTATTTCATAATGAGTGAAAATCAACAAAAACAAATTTCATTTGGACAGAAAATATTGAAAACAATTTTAATTATTTCTCACAACTAATAGTCTGTATTGCTTCCTCGAGCCTAAATGCAAGCTGTAAGACGACGTATCATGCTCATAATTAAGTTGTCCAGAAGATGTTGAGGAATGGCTTCCCATGTTTCGCGCGCAGCAATTTTCAGTTCATTGCATACGTCAATCAATCCTGATATACACACATGGCCAACATTATTGCATATAACGATATTTTTATTTTATTTTGGACATAAGATGATTCGTTTTATATTTTGGACTTTTGGCCTACTACACGACTAACTAATATAAAATTAAAAATCTAAGTGCAACTAGGCTGTTATTATAATTTTATTTCATAATGAGTGAAAATCAACAAAAACAAATTTCATTTGGACAGAAAATATTGAAAACAATTTTAATTATTTCTCACAACTAATAGTCTGTATTGCTTCCTCGAGCCTAAATGCAAGCTGTAAGACGACGTATCATGCTCATAATTAAGTTGTCCAGAAGATGTTGAGGAATGGCTTCCCATGTTTCGCGCGCAGCAATTTTCAGTTCATTTAAAGTACGGGGGGGATCATTCCTTTTGGCAATATGGTGTTTTAGCATGTCCCAAGCATGCTCGATCACATTCATATCTGGAGACAATGGTGGCCACTACAGTTTTCTTATACCCTCTTCCTCACAAAATTCGCAAACCGCTAAAGTGCGATGGGGAGGAGCATTATCGTCCATGCAAACAAATTCATCCCCCACTGCCCCTCGAAATGGACGCACAATAGGCTCTAAAACGTCTCTAAGATATGAGGCACCTGTCATTGTGCAATCAATAAAAACAAGGGGAGTTCGAGCTCCGTGCAGTATCTGCTCATACCATAATGCTTCCCCCTTGAAACGGGACACGGGGTTGAGCTGCATTCAAGCGTGCTCGTCTTCCAGATGCTCTCCAGACAAAAGTTCGTCGCGAGTCTGACACTAGACCTATTCTTGTTTCATCACTAAACATGACGAAATTCCAATTAGGTCCATTTGCTCTCATCTCCTCAGTCCATTGTAGTCGCGTAATTTTGTGCTGTAAATTAAGCTTCGGAACACGTAGAGGCCTCCTTAAATGTAATCCTCTGTCATGGAGTCTTCTTGCTATGGTCTTTCTTGAAACATTTACTCCTTCAAAGCGAGCTAACTCATTTTTAATAGCAATTCTAGAAAGCAGGGGATTGCGTCGTGCAATTAGGGATATTTGATGGTCTTTCACAGCATTAGTAACTCTCTACCTCTTCCAGGCCGGTCTGTAACCTCGTTTGTTTCCCTGAATTTTTTTAATATTCGCGAAACATCGCTTTGGTTAACTGCTACAATTTAAGCTATTGCAACTTGCCGGTAGTAATGTTTCTA